GGTGTTCCAACTTGACTTTCTTCTCGTTCGAATCTCGTTCCTCGGGCAAGGATTAACCGACGATATTATTCTTCAATTTGGATTAAGCTCCTTCTTTGCGGAGGACGACTTTTCCCGGCTCTTCACGGATCACGAACGGTGGTGAATCGAAGAATGGCGAATCGTGTTAGCCAGATTGATCCCTTCCACGTTTGCAGCTTTTCACAGGAATTTCCCTGATCGAAAGGAGGAACGCGAAATTCCACTAAATATTATTATTATTATTACTATTATTACATATTATATATCTCTCTAACGATTGACCATTAACAATCATCGTGGTGAAAATGGAAATTACGAAAGTGACAAGTTGGTTGGAAATAAATCGCAAACATATTTTTTATATTCTTTACGATATCTGTCTAGTAATTTATCTTAAAACTCAATTCAAACGCTATTGGAATTAGGAAAAAAATTAAACCGCTATAACTCCGAAAATAGCGATTTTCAATCAACGAATTAGCGATCATTAGAAGCGCGGATTCTTGCCCTTCAAAACCTTCTTTTATTTATTTCGATACGATTTCCGATTGTCGAGATATCGTCGTGTAAAGAGAAGGATAATTTTTCGTTTGCTATTTCCGTTCTCGTCCGTTTACTCGGACTCGTACTTTCTCGTCTCACTGATCTTATCTTAAAGTCCAAACGAGTGACAGACGTGAAAACATTGTAATACACGCGACTCTTCTAAGCGACTCTATTTACAATCGTTTTAGTAAACGTCAGGTTCACTTTGAGTCGACAACAGATCGAGATATCGAAGTAAAACGAAAAAGTGACTTCACGATTTTCTCTACTCTCTCTCGAATGAGTTATAAAATTTTTACCTTCGTCACATCTTTAAAATATTTTTAAAATTTCAAAGTTTCATTTACACTTTTAACGTGTACGTATATCTTATATATGATTTAATATACGTTTTACATTTTACTTCTTATTTGATCACGTTTTACTTGCATAAAAATCCCCGCGGTTATGAGAATCATCGATCGTTCTTGGACTTGTCATACACGTTTTTTTTTTTAACGTGGAAAGTTATACGTTGAAACGATGACATATAAAATAGTATCGCGTTATTGGCGTTACAAGCTTCTGATCTTTGCGGAAGATTAAAAACGTGCTTCACGCGTTGGTATTAAAAGCCTTTTTTTTTTTTTTTCTTTACTTGTGAGAACTACTTTGAGAGATGTAAAATATTTAATGTTATCGTAAAAGCTTTCTTCCTTTTTCTTCAGCTGGCCTTAGAGATATTGTCTTTAAAAAAAAAATGAAGATCACTCGGGTACGATTCGATTTAATAGCTTTATATTTTCAAATGAAACATCGAATAGCAAAAAAAAATCATCGAAGGTCGTTTTTTTTTTCTTTCAACGACTCATTTTGACATATTACGAATTTTCTATACTTTTCTATACGTTTCGATAAATCGAAACGCGCAAATAAATTGGAAATAAATACAATCTCAGTTCTAAAAGTATGGAACGTATAATTATAACGGTAACGTATTTTTCCAACAAATTTTCGGCCACATCAGGTTTATTTATCCGCGCGTTGTTTCGCATTAAAACTCCGTTTTTAATTTGTTACAAAAATACGAACGCGTAACATACTTTTTTATTTCACGGCGTAATGTTTCGATCTATATCATAATTACGATGCCGATTAATATCAATAACTCGTGACGAGGAAGGATTTTCGCGTAGCGAATAAACGAAGGTGAAAAAAAAAAAAAAAAACAAAAAATTACACTCGAACTTGTATTTCTTCGATCAAATTTCAATAATTCGACGAACTTCGAGATACGGTTGATATTTTATTTTCACAAAATTATTATTCAATTCGGAAACGAAATATCGAATTTCAACGTATCGTATTAGAGAATTGTATTAAGTTATAGGTTAAGTTACAGCACGTGATACGATTATATACTCGGCATTATTATTCCGTGGCGAGCCGTGTTCATGGAGCCGTGGATCCAACTATAAGTATAGGTGACTGCTAAACAAGTTTAGGGGGACACAGTTCGGGGAGTCCACCGCGAATTACCAACTCGATCCCAAATGTCAGACCCGTGGAATCCTCTTCTACCTGTTGTTTCCGCGATAACGACGTTTTCCTTCGATGGTAATTTAAATTTCGATGAAAATTCCCCGAGTTCCAGCGGTCGATATTGTCCGATCGGAATTTTCTCTCCACCATTTTTCCCCCGCTTTATTAAAGTACTTTCTATAGTGTTACGCGTGGAACACTATAGATACGCGGACACGAGGAATTTATTAATTCGTGAAATTTGGACAAATATCTAGCCGAAATAATGGCCGAAAAATTTATTCCGAATTTTCCGCCTTCTGTTTTCAATTAATAAATTTAAATTTAAATTTAAAATCCAGAAATTCGCCTCCAGGTGTTAATTACTTGGCGCGCGGCGAAAATAAAAATTAGATTTTTCACACCATTGTTGTAACTTGATGTACGATTTTTATAAATAGATAAGATAATTGTGACTTTTATCATCTCTCGTCGTAAAAGAGCAAAGCGTTGTAAATCGCTTTTCATTTTTATTGGAGCTATCCGTTAAATTTTTACTCGAACTGTATTAATATTAAAATATTTTAATGTAAATTCCCTCCTCCTCCCTCTCTCTCTCTTTCTTTCTCCAAAAAAAAAAAGAACAAAGTATGAAATAAATTCAACATGAAATTCTAGAATTTATTCACATCTGTCGTAATCGAAATTCGTATTTTTCATTCATTCGCACGATGATTTTGTTATCGTTCTTTATGAATACCAATAACAAATTATCCTTTCGTTTATTATCCTTATCGTTCGTTTAATTCTCTTTATTACCTGTAGCCTCTAATTTAGTTTCGGTCTTTTATTTTTTTTATTTTTTTATTTTTTTTTCTCATGAAACAAAACATCTTTCTATCCGCGAAGTAGCTCCAAAAGCGAGAAAACCCGGTGATAATTTGTCGAGAAGATCCTTGCGACGACCATTCTTCTCTCCTCGCAATGTTAAATGCCTCGCGACGTATTTCTTTCCGTCGTTTCTATCCCCTCCCTACGCTCTATAATAAAACCACCAACTGTCGGTTTAATACCTTTTCGTCCACGCAACGAAAAGAAAAAGAAAAATAATAAAGAAGGAAAACACGAATACAAAGTACAAGGACAAAACTCGAAACGAAAACCGATGTATTAGATATACTGGAGAAACATGATATTTTATTATAAAATATTTCCTTGGATTATTCCTTTCCAATCATACGGATATATATATATATTTTTTTCTTTTTTTTTTTCCCTACATCGAATCAAGGTTCGTTCAACGAGAGATAGGAAAGAGGGATAAAATCTTGATTAATATCGACGACGCGGCAAAGGTTGATAGTCGAAGATGAGCTTCCCATTCTCCCGTGTTCTCCATTAACAAATCCAAAGGGATGAGAACGGTAATACCGCTCATTAAGCTCGCGAAGGAGGATAATGAGATTAAAATTTTAACAAGCTTGACACGCGCACGGATGCGACGCCGTTAAATTAATCGCCAAGTTCATCGAGAGGAAATTTTTAAAAATATATTTTCGGTGATCACGCTTATTGTTTGCAAAAAGGATCGATCCTTTAATGATGGAATAAACGTACTCCTCGTTATTATATCGAACAAGGAAAATTACATCAAGCACAGCGTACTATAAATTTAAATTAATACAAACGCGTTTTAATACACCAGCAGCTATCTTCAGTCTCTACAACTTCGATGATCTTAGGATCGACACACTTTGAAATTTATCTCTCACTGTTATACGGACAGTGTAACGAGGACAATTAAAATCAATTTAAAAAACGGAATCCTCTCTTTTCTTTTCTGGAGAATGGAGAAAGCTCGAAATGAACTTGATGAATTTCTTACGACTAATTAAAAATGATTTTACGCATAATTTACATATAAAGAAAGGAAATTTGTTGAATATTGAATTTATATATCGTTGTTTCGCGCGATATTTTATAAAGCAAAGATGCATCCTTGATTTATCAAGACAAATATCGTTAATTAAAATATCTCTCACTTTTCTTATTTCGTTGAGAACAAACCTTATAATCCCTTTCAACTCCTGTTAACGTAACGTGCTCTCACATTCACTGACTATTATCTTTCCATCTTTATCTATGCTCTCCTTCTCTCTATCGTTAATAATTTCTTTACGAATGAAAAGTACTTACGAAACTCGAAAACGTTGAAAATAATATTCCCATTGCTACGATTGTCAAACTCGAGCCAATACCGAAGACGCAGATCCGACTCGCGATCCAATTTGAAATAAGAAAATGGCCTACCTATTCTATGTTATATTATTCTATGCTTCACATTATACGTAATGAGCTTAGGAATCAAGCGTAAATAAATATCGTATCGAATCCAAATAATAGCTAAGAGTCACATTCGAAATTTATCTCTCACTATTATACCATTTATACAATTAAATTTAAGAAATCTCCTCTTCTCCTCCTTTCTTCTCCTCCATAACAGTTCTATTCCCCCACTCTTTCTCTCCGCGGATTTTATTTTTGTTTTCTCAGCGTGGAATTGGCGCACGCGGCGCTGCTGCGGGAAACTCGTGCGCGCGAATCCACAGGAATTATCGCAGCCACGATAAATGGTGGCGCGCGTTGCTTTTCCTCGAGGCGAGACGAGGCTAGGCGAGGCGCTGCAAGTGTATCTCGTAAGTGATTTACATCGTTCCCCAATTTCGGGTCTTTGCAGTAAGTACACTTAGGGACGTTATTCTATCTCTCGGCGTACATTGTGCTCGGCGGCCTGGTGTTTCGCAGGCTACGCTGGAAAGGAGAGGGAGGGACGGCGGCCGCGATAACGGCCTCGAGGAGAGAAACAGGGAGGGGGAATGTTGGAGACGGGATGGTGGTGGTAGATTGCTCCCACCGCCGTTGGGTTTCTTGTAAGCCGGTAATCTTCGGTAAGTAACAAAACACGTGGCTGAGCTTAGGACCCCCACCACTCGAGAAATTCTCTTTCTCTCTCTCTCTTTCTCTCTTACCTCCGGTGTTACACTCGGTGTATTCCCGCCTCCTCCGTGGTAACCCGTCATTCGACAGAAATTTCCTGCGTATATAGTACATATATATCGCGGATTTCAACGCGTTTCCTTCTTTCTGTGAACAGATTTTTGTTTTCTTGTCTCTTGTGTTTCTTGCGTGTTTCTGGTGACGAAAAGAATCGAAGGATATTTCTATTTTTCGTTAAAAAGATGTTCGTTCAACGGTGTGGATGGTTGTTTAAAGGAGGAGGGAAGTGAAGGATGAAACGTAGATTAGGAGAGGCGAGTGTTGGGTAAGGTTGGCAGGATAGGAGAACGTTTCAATTAGAAAACGGATATGGAGGAAAGATGGGGGGAGGGAAAAGCGAGGGATTAATCCTCGGCTGTTGGTATTAAAACCGAATGTATTTATAACTCCTAAACCGTCTCGCTTCCCTTCGGGGAACGAAATCCTTCGTACAGCTTCCAACTTCTCTTCTCAGTCCTCTCCTCCCTCCCAACTTCGGATCCGCTTCTTGTTTGTTTCGCGCTCTTTTTTCTTACAGATTCGAGAATAATCTACTAGATTTTTAATTGAGAAACTTCTTTCTTTCGCTATTTCGTCGATATTTTATCCTATTGACACGTTCATCTATCCGTTCCGTTCTTCCAACGAATTCTCTTCCTTCGCGTTTCTTCATCCTCTTCACTTTGCCAATTTTAATCTTCATATTACGCTCGTGATCAATTAAACTCTCAATTAAATTCGTGTCCTTGATGAAAAGTATCGAACCAAACACGCGAACGAATAATTGTCCAACAACTTCTGTCTTCTACGATTCCGTCCTATCGGAATCCTCTCTCCGTTCTTCCTTATTTTATTTTTATTAAACTTATTCCTCGATTATTAATTACAGGATTTTCAACTAAATTTAAAAAATTTTCAGAATTAAGAATTTAAAATTCGTTTAAAATTCGATTATCATTGCACGGTCAACATTCGGATTGGCCTCCAAATTATATTCTACGAAACTGTTTTCTTAATCATTACAATTATTACAACGTTTAATCGATTGGTAAAATTTTATTATCAAATTTGTATGATCGACAAATTAAGCAATCTTTCCTCACGATCGGCCGGTTTTTAGTTAGAAAGCAGTTTAATTCGTGAAATATTACGAAGCGACCAATCTGTCCCGTTCGATTTTTGACTACGTCAAATTGGCGGAGGATTAACTCGCGAATAAATGGATGGCCCCGATCGAAACCGTGTTGTCGCTCCGCTTTCGGCGAAGATTGCGCCCGTTTGTTTACTGTTATCGATGTAAACACATTGTTATATTTATAGGGAGCGGCACGTTTCAGCCCGCCAATTAATAGAAGAGGAAGGAAGGAAGAACAATTTATCACCATATTTATATTCAATCGATTAATTGAAACGAAAATTGCGCGATTGATATCGATTTTCTTCGTTTCCTCGTTCGAATTCACGTTCAATTCACTTGAAAAAGAAACGAACGAAGCGGTTCTCGAAAACTTGTCCTCGAGAAACAAAGTGTTTATTCATATCGTACGTATTCGCTCGTTCTGCGCGTCTGGAACATTCTAGCGCGAAAACGATGTGAACGGCGATGTACGATTATAAACGAGGCTCACTTACCGTGCAAAAGAGGGGACGCGACAGTTGGTTGGTTACAAACACGACACGGATTATCCAGGCCATTGCTTAGTAAATCTACCAGATCCTAGCTATTGCGCTCGTTTCTCGGATTTGGCGTGCGTTCCGATATTTAAACGTTGATCCACCAATGTGAACAAGATTCCACGTTTAATGAGCAATGGATCGTTGATCGAATATCTGCCAATTATCGTATTTCCGTTTCCAAAACTTTCCTAGGATAAGCTTTTCGAGGGATAATGCGATATGACATTACGATGTCGAAATTAATTACAAAAATTTGAACAGTGCAGTTTTAAGTTGAAAAAGGTAAGAAATGTTGTATAATAGTATTGAAACTATCGTTGCCAAAACTTTTCTAGGTTAACCTTTTCGAGGGACAGTATAATACGACTCGTCGAAATTAATTACGAAAATTTGAACAGCGCAGTTTTAACTTAAGTTGAAGAGATAAGAAATGTTGTATAATAGTATCGAAACTTTCCAAAAATTTTCCAGAATAACCTTGTCGAGGGACAACGACATGTCGAAATTAATTACGAAAGATCGTAATTAAGAACGTAATTAAGATCGTAATAAGAACGACGCAGTTTTAAGTTTGAAGTTGAAAAAGGTAAGAAATGTTTCTAAAATTTTTCTAGGATAATCTTTTTGACAGAAAATATAATATGATTTGTCGAAATTAATTAGGAAAATTTGAATAACGTAGTTTTAACTTAAATTGAAGAGATGAGAAATGTTATATATTAATATCGAAACCATAACCTTTTCGAGGGACATGGCAATACAATGACACGTCAAAATTAATTACAAAAATTTGAACAACGCAGTTTTAAATTGAAAAAGGTAAGAAATATTGAAACTATCGTTGCCAAAACTTTTGTAGGTTAATCTTTTCGAGGGACAACGACACGTCGAAATTAATTACGAAAAATCGAATAACGCAGTTTTAAGTTGAAAGGATAACCTTTTCGAGGAACATGGCGATACAACGACACATCGAAATTAATTACGAAAAATCGAAATACGTAGTTTTCACTTAAAGTTGAAAAAGGTAAGAAATGTTATATGTTATAACATGTTATATTATTATATGTTAATAACATTACCAAAATTTTTCCAGGATAACCTTTTCGAGGGAAAATATAATACGACTCGTCAAAATTAATTAAAAAAATCTGAACAGCGCAATTTTAACTTAAGTTGAAGAAGAAAGAAAGGTTATGTTCTTCGAATATTTGAACGCGAAAAATCTGCAGGACTGCAAGTATCTTCGAATATAGATGAACCATAGATTTTTTTTAAACTTTTATCTTTTACTGAAAAACTTATTAATAAAATAGTGCGCGAAACAAATAATTATGCAAAATAAAAAAGTCAGAGGAAAAACTTGCCTTGACAAACCGAGGATGCATCTTGGTAATTGCTTCACAAAATATCACTTAAAACAACTTTATATATAAACTTTAATATTAAATAAATGTTGTTTCTTCAAATAAGATAAACATACATAAAATATTAAAATATTTAATAAATTAATAATTAATAATATTTAATAAATTAACTCGTGTGTGAAATCATTATAAATTAACTGTAAGAAATTTTACCGATTGTTCAAAGATCCGAATCATCTGGACTTTTCGACCGAGCGAAACAGGCTTGCAGTACCTGAGGGTTAAGTGAAACGAAGCTCAGTGGTTAACGAACAACCGAATGCATATTTCCGTTTCCTTCTGCCCATCTCTCCTCATATCGGTCGACTATCCAGCGGCGAAAATTGTTTGGAAGCCACCTTGGAGGTGATTCGAGGGATGTTCGAATGGCTCGGGAATCAATTGCGTTAGAGATTACCGCGTTTGATTCAATTCCCAGTTTCTGGCTGAGCTTAATTTATTATCGTTCCGGCCAACGCTCCAACTGTTTGGTCACGGACTTTGGCTACGGCCACGGGTTATACGGGTGTGCTCCCGCGTGTACAGCTACACGCCCCGTACACGCGGATGGATATACGTACGATTTATAATACGGGCGAGGCGCGTTGTTAATCGCGCGGGATACGAGTTGGAATTTTGCCGGTGTTCTTCGATCGTCCCGGGTTTCAACCATCGTCAAAATTTCATTACCCGTGTTGCGAATAATTTTCCTATATATATATTTTGTACGAATTTCGTTCTAGGAAAAAATTCTTTTTCTAAAAATAATTTCAATTTCGATGACAGTCGAAAGAAGAATCGTGTTTAATTTTTGGGATGTTTTCTACGAATCGTTCTATAAAAAAATTCTTTTCGAAAAATTTCAACGAAAGCCTTTTTTATATATATATATATATATTTTGTACGAATTTCGTTCTAGGAAAAAATTCTTTTTCTAAAAATAATTTCAATTTCGATGAAGGTCGAAAGAAGAATCGTGTTTAATCTAATGTTTCCTATGAATCATTCTATAAAAAAATTCTTTTCGAAAAATTTCAAAGAAGATTAAAAGAAGAATCGTGTCCAATCCTTGGGATATTTTCTATATTATATATATATGTATTTCACGTGAATCTAAAAAAATTCTAAAAAAAGTTCTTTTCGAAAAATTTCAATTTTGATGAAAACCGAAAGAAAAATCGTGTTCAATTTTTGGGATGTTTTCTATATATATATATATTTCTCACGAATTTCGTTCTAGAAAAAAATTCTTATCGAAAAATTTCAAAAAAAACTGAAAGAAGAATCATATTTAATTCTTGGAAAGTTTCCTACGAAAAAAATTTTTTTCGAAAAATTTCAAAGAAGACTAAAAGAAAAATCGTGTCTTTGGAATATTTCCTATATATATATATTTCGTACGAATCGTTTTAAAAAAAAATTTTTTTCGAAAAATTTCGGTGAAGGCCGAAAGGAGAAAAATTTCAAGGAAGGCTGAAAGAAGAATAGTGTTTAATCCTTGAGACATTCCATAGTGATTCAAATAATTGAGTTTATACGGAGATTTAATTTTTAGAAAACACTGCTTTTTATTGTAATTTGTTATTTTATTAAAAATCACAAATATACAAATATATGTGATTTTTAACGAAATATCAAATTCTTAAGTAAAATATCTTAGACAGGAAATTAAATTAGAAAAGGCTTCGAAAAACGTACGATAAATCGGATCTCGAGAATTGGAAATGTATTCTAAGGAAACGGATGTTAAGGAAAAAAAGAAGTAAATAATAGATATGAGCCAGATATATATAAACAGTAATAATTTAACGAAATAACAATAAAAATGTTAAAACTGAAAATCAAAAAAGCACTGTAAAAAGACATACTGATCTTTCAATTGATTGAAAGAAATAAAAAAATTGCCAACTAAAATTAAGAATACTATTATTGCTTATTTTTCCAAAATATAATAAATAAACAACGATGGAAATGCATATATATTATACAACATAAGATAGTCTAAAATTAATTTCCATAATAAATAATAAATTAATAAATTAATAATCCATAAATATCAATGGTTAGATTAAGAATATATCCTATAATATATGTCATAAGCAACTGTAAACATTGAAATTAATTTTAATATAGTTTTGCAAAGTTTTACGAATCAAATATGGCGGTAAAAAAAAAGTAAAAAGTTTCTATTTTTCATATTTTCATTTCTTCTTCATATTCTTCTCTCGCGAATGGAACGACATCGAACGTGTAAAAAATCATCGACAAATTATTGCATTTGTGAATTTCTAATGAATTTCTATGAAGTAATTATTTAAGCTTGATTTACAAAAAAAAAAGAATTTCTGGATAATTTACAACGATTTAAATCAAAATAGATGTTTCGAGATGTTAATATCCGTTATAACATTGAAATTTAAACGTTTCTTAACTATTGGAAAAAGTTTCTTCGAAAACTTCTTACTCTGCTAGATACTCCCCCAGTTCTTTTGTAATCGATCGAAGGATAATTAACAAGCGAAACTTTGGTGATTCGTGGTCGAATCGAAGAACGAAAATGATCTTAATTCTGGATGGACGCAAACAGTCTCGGATACAAAGGAGTGTGGATATTTGGAAAGACAAGCCACGAAATTCGGGAATTTCCAATAAATTATTTCCAATCGAAGCAACAACAATTTTAACCTCAAAGACTTCGCAAGATACTATTTCCGTTGCGAAGGCATCTAACGCCTTTGCAATTTTGATTGGAATCAGCCGATAGAGAAAACGGTTATGCTGCGCAGAAGCTAAACCAATATGCGTCTCTGTGCCAGAGAAATTGGCTGCGCTTAAACGAATTCTAGTTAGAACTTTAATCGAAACGATTATTCATACAATTTCCTTTTAATGCTTTAAACAATCAGAATATCCTATCCAGATCCATTGAATAATCTAGAAATTGAAAAAAAAAAAAATAAAAGTATTTAACGTTCAACGCGACGGTTGAGCACCACTGGTTAATTATAATTTACGTAACTCATATCGATTTTTCATTTGTTTCAAGAAAACAAGTTTCGCGGTGTCAACTTGTTGGAAGCTCCTCTAACCTTCGCAAAAGTTTTTCCACGCTTATATATTTCACTGGATTCAGAAAAACTGGATTCTAGAACATTCTTATACAGTTATATTCTCTTAAATTCTCTCTTATTCGAGTTACACGATAAAATATGCCGTATATATTTTCTTGTTTCGCCTATTTCGAAAAATCTTCATCTCGTTGTATCGTACCGATTCAACGAAAGACTTATCTTAAGTTATCTCTGCGTTTCTATCGACTTTTTTCCCTGCTAATTAAATATAATTTTCGCAATGTCAAAACTCTTTCGATATAAAAGAAAAAATCTGATCGAAGAACAGAAAAATGGACGACGTTTCATTCGGGGAGACGATGGTAACCGGAAGTTAGTAAGGCGTCGGTTGGAATAGCGCGAGCCGAGTCGAGAGGTTGACGCCAAGTCCCAGCAATTAACACGAACGTTTAATTAAGCATCCCGTAGCGCGCGGTAGACGCTGTTATTCTCACATACCTAGAGCCGAGATATATCGTTACTACTAACAATTATTCTAGCCCCTAGATGGGGCTAAAGGGGGGCTTTGGGAGCTGGGGGAGTCTATCTTAGGGTCGTCGGAATTAATAGCGGCGTTCCATTCCGCTTTGTATTTATCTAAGCCTGCTTCTTATAACCGAGCATCCACCACTCTCTGTCTCTCTCTAACGCACTGCCCCTCGTCGTTCCGTGTGAATTCAGATACTTATCGAGCGGTTAGTGCTCGCCCGTTTTACCGATAGAGTATCGAGTCGGGTTATGTTGCACGTGGGTTTAATAGAGAGTCACATCTTTCGCGTTCTGGGAAGCTTGTAAATAACGATAATGATGCAATAATGCCCTAGAAACGTGTCATTCGTTTTATCCTTGCCTCGTGTTGAGTATTTTATTTGTGACGATTAAAAAGAAAAAAAAAAGGAAAGAAAGAAAGATAAAAAGAGAGGAAATCTATTCGATATTTGAAATTACAATCTCTGTGAATTTCTTTCGCCGTTTCAAGCCGTTTCATACACCGTTCTCTTTTCTTTTTTTTTTTTTTGTCCGCCCCCTCGAGTCGAGGATAATTCCACGAGAGAGAGATATAGTGTCTTTTTAACGTGGTGTCCGAGGGATGAAAAGCGGTTGTCACGCTAATTGCATCGCGTATTTCCATCTCGTGCAGGCAGAATACCGTTTTAATTACTTCAACAATTTTCTGGCTTTCGTTATCAATCCATGGAATATTTCCGCGTTATGGAGGAACGTCTTCTGTATTTGATTTTTTGAACACAAAATTTTTTAATTAATCGTAATCGTGTCGTGTTATCTTACGTTACGATGACGCAAGATGGTCGTTAAATAAATCGAAAAAAAAACGCGAGAGACGAATTTTCTCCGATTAGTAAACTGTAATTGGAAAACAGTATATGTTTCGTTGTAAAACTATCGAACGAAGTGTTAACATTTTAATTCAACTTTGTAAATTATCGATTTGATCGAATTAAAATGAAAAAAAAAAAAATATCTCGATTACTCTAAAAAATCTATTTTCTTCTCCTGTCAAAGGAGAACAATGCAAATAGAATTACACGTCGACTCGAATCGTTTACACGATTCACGATTATCGTCACGGTTACGTACACGCGTTAAATTTACCAAACGATATATAAACGCGTTACATTGGCGCGTTTACTTAACCATTATTACCTAATAAACCGACATAATAATTTGTTCGGTGATTATACACTAAATCGTAGCTATAGGGGGAGCATTGTTTAAAGTATCCCATTTAATCCCCCATAAATAGTTACGAGTCCCATCGAAATCGTTGCCAATTAATCGGCCCGTGTTAAATCGGAATAACGTTAAAAAGTTAGTTAAATAAAATTAAACGGGATCCAACGTGGAAAGTTAATCGCTTCGTATCGCTCGCTTTAATTTCATTCCGTTCGTCCAAACGATCGCTTAACAATTTCAAAAAACTTTTAAAAGGAAAGTATTCGAAAATTTCCCTATTTCTTCCGTCGCCCGATTTCAAAATTATAATATTTTTCTACCTACTCGCCTCTATGTTTAATTATTTAATTTCTTGCGAAGGAAAATTTCCCTCCAAGAAATCACTTTCAACAGAATCTCGAGTTAATCGATGTTCGTACATTCTTCCAATACTGTATACCATATATATATATGAGTATATAGTATAGTAAGTATATAGTGAATATGTTTCGTTGTAAAACTATCGAACGAAGTGTTAACATTTTAATTCAACTTTGTAAATTATCGGTTTGATCGAATTAAAATGAAAAAAAAAAAAATATTTCGATTACTCTAAGAAATCTATTTTCTTCTCCTGTCAAAGGAGAACAATGCAAATAGAATTACACGTCGACTCGAATCGTTATACGATTCACGATTGTCGTCATGGTTACGTACGTTAAATTTACCAAGCGATGTATATATATATATATATATATATATATATTTCGACTCGAACTTTGAGAAAAAACTGCGAGTCCGTTACCGGATCAAACGTCTCTCTCCCCTCCTCCTTCTCTATCCATACAACGCTCCGCCAAGATAAGATAAAATGTTCCAAATGTTTACACCAAATAATACATTTTCGGCATAGAAATTCGGGTTGAAGTGTTTAAAAAGAAAAAAAGGGGGAAGGTTTCTTTGAGAATAGACAAATGTTAAACGAAAGAAGGGCATTTCGAATTTGGTATTTCGATCCCTTGATCCCGGTCTATACTTCATTCAGATACACAGCTCTGATACGGGCGGATATCCTGCGCGCGTTATGGACAGTCTGATCCTGACACACGATGCGCATTACCGTTGTTCCCCTTTGTACAACCATCTCTTACGCGTTCTCAATGAAACTGATTATTCTGAAATTTGGATCCGATCTCATAGGCCGGATCTCGGTATTTTCCGGGGTGAACTCAATAGAACGATTTGGTCTGAAGAAACAACGAAATCGCTTTCGCTTCGCTCTTTAAATATTCTTCTGATATTACGTTAAAAGAAAGACGAATGAATGGAGCAAGGAAAAACAG